GTACTACATGTGGACCCTTCTCAAAATTGTTCATTTCATGACGATATCTTTAATTTACTAATTTTAGGTGAATATTTTTGTCATTTTTGGTAAAAAGTGATATTTTCTTCTTGTTAAAAACCACAATCATTTATTGTGAAAAAATATATTTTTGAATTCTTGTTTAAACAGCAAGTCCCATTGCATTGATACTATGCATATTGTTCATTTTCTAATTATATCTTCTGTTCTTTAATTGAAAAGTGCATTACTAACAGCGGAGCTATCTCAGCCGAGAGGCTGCTTGTTTATATATGTCTTTGATTTATTTTTTTTAAAATTATAGATCCAAAGACAACCTTCGCAAAATAACGATTATAGAGAGGGTGACCCAGGGGACAACGCACAGCAACAATCCTCGTCTGGTATGGCGTGTAGCGTGGCGGCAGATACGAGCGGAATGATAGTACCGGCTCACCTTGATTTCTGGCGCATACCGTGGGACAAAATATTATTTGAAGACAGAATTATTGCAGAGGGTAATTTCGGCATCGTCATGAAAGCAACCATCAAGCAAGATGACCACGATGTTATAGATGTAGCTTTGAAAGTACTTAAAGGTATGTGAATTACAGTCATAGTATTGTTATCAAAACATTTCATACTTCCGTACTTTATTGTCACCGAAGCTATCTTGAAAATATATGTCCCCAGGGCCCAGGAGCGGTGATAGCAGAAACTGAAGTGTGTTTAATATGAAAAGTAGGAAATGAACATGCTCGAACTGATATATATTATATTGGCAACTACAGCATTTCTACCTGGGCAGTTTTACAACTTTGAAAAACACATTATTTGAAATTCGATTAAAAAAAGTGGTCATAAAGTTGCCGAAATTAATGAAAAACTTGGGAAATTAATTTGTTAAAGACAAGGATATCATATTACATCAATTATTATATGACATTAGAATGACATTTATGGTTAATATCAGCCTGAGGCATACGGCGTCACAGTACGATATATTCCGGGTACATGTGGGTGACGTCTGTGATTTAGCACGTTATTATAATATATAATATTATAATGTCGAAATTGGCAGAATTTTATTATTAGTCTCATCTTACGTTATCAGTATATTACAGTAAAGCCATTGTGACGGTATGCTTGTCTTTATAGATGGCGCCACAGACAGCGACAAGAAAGACTTCATCGGTGAACTTGAAATCATGTGTAAAGTTGGCAAACACCCAAATATTGTCAATCTGATTGGCGCATGTGAGCGTGGAGGTAAGAGTCATATCCTAGAGGGTGGGTGGGGGTGGGGGGTGTTTGGGTACCTGTCAGAGTATTCGATTTCTTTCATTTTTATTCTTATGATTCCCCAATCGGTAATACTACATCAATATGGAAGATACGTTACAAAAGAACCCCAAAACGCTGGTGGGCACGTGAAATCTAAAAGTGAATCGAATTATACTAGTACTTTAAATATTGTAAGTTATACCCCCAGTGGTCATCATAATGACCTCTCCCTATGTTTTCGCACATGACAACTTTGACAACTTTGAATTATTCTGAATTAAAGCATGGTGCATTACAGTTCGAAATTGTGAATTATGTATCTTTTAAACGAGGCAATTGCTCTAAAATCATGTGAAAAGCGCCCTCAAACATGTTTTGGCTCGTGTAGCAATAATACGAGATATTGGCAAAAATTGTTGTCAAAATCTATCTCCGAAGGAAAATATCTTCTAGTACAAGAATATTGTCAATAAATTTCTCAAATCCAAACTGTTGATCAAGATTTTAAGCCAATATGAAATAATGCCCATATTTCACAAAACTGTCAACATACATTTATAGAAAAATACTGTAAAACATAACATGGCATCAATATTATTACGAGAAAATAATACATACAGGAAGACATTATTCTATTGACAAAACGTTCTTTTGTCATAGTTTATAACTTTGAAAAATTATATTAATACTAAAATGTCTGTGTTATTATAACACAATTTTATTAATTTGAGTGAATTTTTTTAATTTATTAGATTTTTGATTTTTAACATACCGTTATTTATCATGACATTGTTCAATAAAAATTACATGCTCTATATACAATTGCTAAAAATTACAATACAAATTGTACATTAAAACGAATTACAGCGTTTATTATATAGTTCAATATATAGGCGATATATGTTGTGATTGTCTAGATAATGTTTTTGATTTTAAAAGCATAAAGTTGTTATTACTGTTAAATTACATCACATGTGGTTCAGAAAGTGACAAAAATATTTTATACGATATCTCGAGGGAATATTAGTTCTTGGTCGTTAACCTCTGCCAATCCGCTGTTGATGCACCAGTGATCTTCGAAGCAGTCCAGTTTCTTTATTATTTATTAGAATATTGTTAGTCCAGTTATTTGTGTATTCAACATGTTGTAAAAATGTATCTCCTAATTTAGTTTAAATTAACATTTTAATGTTTTATTTTTTATTTTTTAAAACTTAACATAACATGGATCACTTTGAATTCATAATAATATTAAACTGGTCTGGTTGACTGGTTGGCTGTGCTAATATCATAAATTCCTTAGTCAAACAAAAAGTCGCACTTTCAAGCGATGCAAAAAGGGGTAAATCGAGTTTATGTATGTCATATATTTGAAGATGTACAATTTTAAAGCTTACACATATTCTATGATTTTGTTTAGGCATTCTTTACGTTGCTACCGAATTCGCCCGATATGGGAATCTCCTAAATATACTACGGGTCAGTCGTGTCTTAGAAACTGACCCGAACTATGCCAGAAAAACCAACATGGCGTCCACGTACTCCGCGGAGCAATTGCTCGGTTTTGCCGCAGACGTTGCATTGGGAATGACACATCTGTCAGAAAAAGGGGTAAGCAATAATGATTATTTTTATTTTCAAAGGACACATGAAGTATTCTGTGACGTAATCAGTCTTTCAGGCGCCAGCTTTCATTTGAGTATGGGTCGCCCTCAGGCGTCGACTGCGTCTCGCTTATGACATTGTAGCCGTTTACAGAGAGCACAATTCGTTGAAATTTGTTGACATTTTGTTGAATTACAACTTCGTTAAATATAGAGATCCAGCTCAGGGTTGAAATTAAAATTGTTTTTTCAAATATTTTACAGTATAAATATTGAGCTGATTAAGTTATGCTAAATAGCTCACATGCTCATTAACATACAGTATAGAACCATGGATCTACCCGTGGTGCAACACTGTTGTTTACAACACAGTTACGTTATCAAAGCCAATTATCAAGGAATGTTCACAATAACCTTTTCTCATTCAGGTTTTATTAATTAGAATTTTTAGATTGAAATAATTGAGATGATGATCAACATGTTCATTCTACTATTCACAATTGAATGACTC